CAGAATTGGATAACACAAAGTCTTGTTACCAATTATTTGTAACCATTACAATTTCAAAAAAAATATATATTTAGGACAAATATCTCCAGTAGGGACAGTGTCTAAAGCAAATAATTTGGAAATTTCCCAGTTTTTTTCAGGGCAAGTGGTTATTGCTATGGTTATTGTGATTAATTCTGTGATTGGTGGATTTAGCTGAGTAGACTTAGTATGATTGGCTGCTTCAACTGTCTGATTACAGGTGTCCGATTACAGCCAACTGTCCAATTACACTGTCCTGTCTGATTACAACTGTGCATAGTGATTAGTGGAATATAAAGCAGCTGATGCACCCATCACATTTGAGGAAATTGTAATTGCTATGATTAACACTTTAACTCCCACACTCTTATTGTTAATTCTCCCCTCTAGTTTCTACACATTTCTTTAATTTAATCTCGTCTTCTCGGATAGGACATAAAACTGTAGGCCCCGTCTCCTGCAGGGTTGGTGTAGGAGAAATTAATTTCCCACACACGAGATTACTGTGTGGTGGATGTCCTCCCCTGGGGTGGGATGGGTGGTTAATATTTATTGGGGTTGAATATCAATTGGGACATTGTCCTGTTTTCTTCTCCAGTTGCCGATACTATTCTGTACATGTAATAAATTTCAATAGAGGAATTTGTAAATTAGTTACAAGAATTTAATGTTAGATCAAGATAACAACTTCTACCTGATAAGTTTTATTATTCTCATTGCCAGATTGCTGGATAATTTAGGGACAAGACACATGTTAATCACTTTTGGGAAGTAATTAGGGTTAATGGTTTTAAAATAGTGTATGCTTTAAAACATATGTTTAAAACATATTATTATGTGGCAAAATAAATGGAAAAATACATTAATCATTTAACTCTTAAGATCTAATTGTTAATTCTCCCCTCTAGCTGCTAGACATTTCCTTGTAAATCAGTTATGAGAATGTGGTGTTAAATCAAGTTAAGAACTTCTACCTGATAAGTTTAAATATTTTCATTAGCTGTTTACTGGATCATGTAAGGATGTTATAGGGTGAAGTTTCATGTTGAGCACTTCTGGGAGTTAAAGGGTTAAGTAAGATAAATATGAAATAATCATATTAAGTTTTTTTCTGATTAGGAATTACATTTGCTACACATTTCTTTTGTAAATTAGCGATGAGAATTTTGTGTTAGATGAAGATAACAACTTCTACCTCATAAGTTTGATTATCCTAAATGCCTGATTGCTGGATAATGTGTAGATACTATAGGGAAGACACATGTTAATCACTTTTGGGAGTTATTCAGGGTTAATGGTTTCAAATTTATGTCTGCTTGGATATAGGTTCTCTTGCACGAGTTCAGTTCAAGTCTTGGGAAGCCAGACAAGTTGCTGTTATTTATGGAACAGAGAAAGCCTCTGAAGTATTAAGGTCAGCCTTATATTCACTGCAGAAAGTTGAAGATAAATCTGGTGCTTCTTTTAAGCTCACCAAGGGGATTTACCTACATGTTAAAGGTGAAATTCTCTGGAGGAATAGAGAAAATGAGAAAGCACTTGCAAGTCTGAAATTGGCCTTAACTTTCTCTGAACCAATTCTAAAGGAGCATACTGATATTGCAAGGTGCTACAATGCTATTGGAAACAGCTCTTTTGCTCTGAACCAGCCGCGGAAAGCGCTTGAGTTCTATGAAAAAGCCTGCAAGCTACAAGAGAAATTATCATCTGAATAGAAGAAGAATCAGATTGGAACTGCATATATAGGCCTTGGATATTATGAAAAGGCAAAGAATTGTTCCAGAGAGGCACTGAGTCTTCTGGAGGAACTTAAACTTGCAGGTAATTTGGATGAGGTAATCTTCCAAAGAAATCTTGCTAATGCACTTATGTTTCAAAGGAAATTTGAAGATGCAATTGAACCTTCAGAAAGGGCTTATTATATAAGGATGAAGCTTCTTGGAAATCACCCACAGACTGTGCGTAGCATTTTTCAACAAGGGGTCCTTCAGGCCAATCTTGGACATCTAAACAAAGCATTGCAGCTGTTTCTTGATGGATGGGAGATGGAAAAGACACTTAGTGTAGGAAACCACAGTGAGGTGTGGTGAAAGATTATCACTGGTGTGGAAGATATGTGTGACTGGACAGAAAAAAAAAGGCTGAAAAAGTTATTTAGAAAAGAGGCCTTCAAGTTTTGTCAATCTTTCTGGGAATAAAAGAAAGAGAAAGAAAAGAAAGACATCATTGAAGCCTTGAAGGACCCTTTCTGGTAACAAGGAAGACATACATTTGATAGAGAGGGAGGAGCTTTGGTTCTTTAAAGGGATGTGCAAAGAATACAAGGAGACGTTACAGGTAGGAGGGTAATTACAATATAAATGTATTCCTTTGAAGTTCATGTACCTGTCCCAAACATTTTCTACTGCATGTACCTGTCTGATTTAATTTCTATCACAAAAAAATTCCCCTACATTTACATGTACATGACTGTATAGCTTTAGTCTCCTTTGACACTGCAATGCTTCTCCAGGAACAAGCTCATCATAGACATCACACAACCTCTGTTAGGTTTGGTCTATAGAATTTAGCAGAATAGGAGAGAAGTGTTGAAAGTGAGGCATTCTCTTCAACATGATACTATAACAAACATAGCAGAAATAATTGGACAAGTATTTTACAAGAGCTGGTTTTTAACTCACTTTGAGGCCTGATTCTGCTTTTTTCCTACTCTTTCTAACACGTTGGGTGTCATGTTAAAGTCTTCTGTTGGATTTATCTGAAAAGGTTGTCTATTGAAGTACTGGAAGCTTGAACCTCATTTTAATTCATGTGTTTTGCTTGTTTAGACTCTAATTCAGACAGATGAATTTCTAGAGGCAATCATAAGACCTAAAGTTAAAGAGATATTTTTATAGTATATATCTCAAAGTTAAATTAATATGAAACAACTCTGCTTTAGAGCTACAAACATTGTAGAGTCAGGATTATCTCCCTTTTAAGTTTGTTTTTAAGTGAAATTTGTACTTCATAGTGCTTTTTTGTGTAATCTTTATTTATTTTATTAATGTTACTGTATGTGCACGCAGCTGAACAATCCATCCTTGAATGGGATGAAGGGGTGAAGGATGTGATTAAAAAAGAAAAGGAAGAAAATGAAATCATTGTAGAATCTGCCCAAAAGAAAGCAATTAGGACTGTGGTAGAGACTGGAGCCAGATCTGATGAGGAGATGGTGGCCAGCTATGGAGAAGACCTTGGGAAAGGAGACAAGAAGACAGGTGCATCTCTGGAGGAAACTGTAGGTGAAGGTGCTCAAACTGATGCTAAAAGTGCTAGGTAATGTTTAATTACTCTGAAAATGATTTTTACATTGTGGAACATGCTAAGGTTTGTCTTTGTTAATGGAGGAACACTGTTGATTCACATGATATACACAGTGTGTGAACCCAAACAATGTTTGCATACAATTTGGTTTCTTTTTTTTTTTTCCTTTCCTTTTTTTTTGTTTTTCAATATTTGATTAATTTTTGTAACCTTGTATGATATCAGTCCACTTTTAAAAGAGTTAAAACATGCACTACTGGTTGGAATAATAACTACAGAGTCTTGGAAAACACTTGCATGTTGCATAAGCACTTATTGCCACAACTTGTATCATGACTTGGCTTTTGAATAACTCAAAGACTTAAGATGCAGAATAGTCTGTTTTACTTGTGTACTTATATACTTTTTAATAAATAAAAACATAAAAGTATTCCTCTTTGTACCAAAATGGATGCAAAGCACTGACATAACTTCTCTTCTTGAATTTTACAGACTTGCTGCACCAACACTTGACACCCATTTTACTTTGAAAGAGTCAGCATTTAGATGTAACAAGGCTTTACCAAAGAGCAAAGTGGAACAGCCATGGCAAAATGAAATAAAGGTAGAAATATTAAAGCTAATAATTATGTTGTGCAATTCCCATCCATTAAAGGAATTGAGGTTTTTAAAGATAGACACCACAAACCACAAGTCACAATCAAATAGCAGTTCTTTCCCATTCTTGGAAGAATTTTATTCATATTAAGTCTTACACCAAGTGGAAGGCCGTCTAAGTCTAGTATTGAAGAAAGAGGTAGAAGAACTGTCCAAGTTTGTCAACAGAGGCATCTGCAGAGATATGCCATGTTTTCAGGTCACATCTACAACCATTTTTATTACAAAAAAAAGAGATTTTGTCTGTTACCTCTTAGTCCGACAAAACTTTGATGTCAGGAAGGAATTAGAATGCAAGAAAAGTTACTGTAAATATAAGTCGATCCCCGGGTATCAAGATTTTCCTGTTCGTTGTTTGATTGCTTAAGGGATTTTCTTTATATATAACTGTTAGAGTAGTATCCTTAATCTAGACATCTCATCTGTTATCGATTACTGTTTTTTAAATTCTTTCACTTGGAGACTCCCTCTTTTGAAGTTCCCTCTTTTAGATTATCCTGAATTGGCATCTTTCTGATATTTCCTCCTCTGCCATACCTGATTTTGATTTTGCTTTCTTTTATGGCAAGGTATCGTAGCAATTTCTGTTTTTATAGATTTTCTTTTTCAAAAATTCCCTTATTTTAAGTTTTCTTTTTTAGTAATGTGATCAGATGCATCCCATAGATAATATAAGTAATCGAAACGGGTCTTCCTCCTCAAACTTTCTCGCCGCCTAGTTTTGATGATAATTGTGATTACGTAATTATAAATTACGTCTAGATAATGTTCCATAATCCCAAGTTCTAATTTCATACCTAACTCCATATTTTCCTTCCACCCTGTAGTAGGTAAATGTTAAAGAACTCTTGGGTTGGCATAAATTTGTGGCTATTGCCTTTTATAGTAATTGGTGATTATGTTGCAGGTTTCTTTAGAAGTCAGTCCTTCTACGGCATGCCAAGAGGAAAGATTGGAAGTTTTTCTTCTATGTGAAGGGTGGACCTCGCGTGCGGGTGGTTTGTCAACAGGGAACTCACAGTACACTTGGCAGGGGCAGGGATGGTCCGCAGTGATCCAGAAGACTTCAGGCTAGAAGGCTACGACATCGCCGCCAAGGCTTTTGCTTGCAGCAAGCTTAGAGAAGATCAGTTGCTCGTTAAAGAATTTGTAGAAAGTAGATAAGAAATGAAGAAGATGCTTTGCGAAGTTGATCTGGTGATCATGCCCTCGCGGGCTGAGGGCTTCGGTCTTGTTGCCCTTGAGGCTCTCTCCGTAGGTCTTCCTGTTCTTGTGGGCAAAAATTCAGGCTTTGCTCAGGCCATAACAGACTTGCCGTATGGTAAGTCATGCATTGTTGATTCAGAGGAACCTGAGAAATGGGCAACTGCAATCACAACTGTGCAACAAGAGCATAGCGAATACTTACAGAAGATAAAGGACCTACGTGAAGCATATGGGAAGAAATACAGCTGGGAAGAGCAGTGTGAAGCTCTTGTTGACAAGATGAGGGAGAAACTGAAAGATAGAAAGTGAGTGCCTTTCCTTTGTTTTGTCTATTTAACTTATTAGAAGGCGAAGTAAAAGCTGTTGAAAGCCCAAAAGTAACCCAAGGTTAAAAGAAAACGAGAAAATGATTTAGCTTTCATAGCTAATTGTGCAGTTTGAGAGCTGAAAAGAATAATCAAATTTGCTAAGGTAAGCCTATGTCTCTTTAAACCCTATCATACGAATGGAAAAAAAATTGGTATCGTGTTTAAAAAATAATAGATCGTTCTTATTTTTCGACAGATGCAGCAGTGCTAGTCCGGCGGGAAATGCAGGTGCAGTATTGAAGCGAGAACGTAGAAATTAGTTGGAAGACATTGCAACTGGATTGCACCAAATGTACTCTTCTGTTCATATTCAGTAACAAAGGATCAGTCTTGGAGAATATTTTGACGTGTTCACGAGTATACGGGCGTTGAGTATCCCAACGAACTACAAGCAGGAGAAGGTGAGTTTCTAGTCTGTCATTCTGTATCATAGAGTAAAAAAGGGCAGGGAAGCTATTCAAAAACGCAAACATTCTTGTGTGTTCCATAGCATCAAATTTCCGGAGGTACTTTTAGGCTGGATTTTAAGAGGTAATAACATGATTTCGAGTGCAATTGGGTGTTAATAAGCACGAGAAAATTTTTCAAGGACAACAAAATTGTACGAGCCCATAGGGTGAGTGCAATTTGTATTCTTTGAAAAAGTTTTAAGTGCTTATTTGCACCAAATTGCACGAGAAATCATGTTATTAATTGGTAATGATTAAGTTTAAAAGGAAGAAAACATCACAGAAAGTCGAGACAGACGAAATTTTGACAGCGCGCGCACGCGGTTTGTAATTTGCACTCGTGTTACAACTTTACACTCATGTTACAACTTTGTTCTAGTTTTCAGCCAATCAGAAGAATAGACATACCGGTATTTTAATAATTTTTTATTTCAAGTAATACACGTTAACCTTTTTATTGATTTCCATCCTAGAAACTGGACTGGAGCGGGACAAGAAAAAACTGAAGGCAAAATGGCAGCACACAAATGTATACGGTGGAATAGTCGCAAAGGCCGATGGTGCTTTCCGTTGGTTTGGTGACATTCTCTGTGGGTCAGAACTTCTATGGAATTCCTCTTAGAACATCCAAACTCTTGTACGCATGTGTGTATTTTCTACACAGATTTGTCTTAGATCGCCTTCCAAATTATGCTGCAGTTATTTGAAACCATCCATCCCTTCTCTAATCTTTATTTTCTTTTAAAACCAGGGTTGTAACTTTCTGTGCGATGAAAAGGGTAAAGTTCCCTGTAACTGTGAAAAAAGCGAATGAAAACTTCCCCTCATATAGTGGACGCTTTTTGTGGAGAAGTTGGTTCAATTTTTCCATTAAATAGACCACCATGTTTACATGCATTTGTGCAGCTGGATTTTTCCGAGCCAACCTTATCTATTGGCCATCTGTAGGTCATGGTGCCCCTTAACGTGTTGTCCCAAATCACGACTTCATCACTCCCTGGCTCGCTCACACATCGACTCCTCCGTTATTTCTGCTCGATCTGTGTAAATCGCCTTAAGTCTTTCAGAGCATAGGAGAATCCCATGTATCACTTGCGGCAAGCGGCTCCCTAGCTCACACAATCACTGGTGAAGTGAACAGTGGAACCTCGATTTAAACAAGCGCCAAGGGACTTGGGAAATAGATAAGTTATATCGAAAACCTCCATTTAACGAATTTGCAGAAAAACGACCAAAATATTTGTTATATCGAGAGATGGTTAACAGTTGCTGTTTTGTTTTATTTTTGTTCTTATTTTATATTACTTTATTTAATTTTTTTTTTTTTGGGTGGGGGGGGGGGGGGTGACGTCGCCCTACCTAGCATTTTGGGATCGGAATGATTACTGTAAATAACACTTGGGCTTCAATGTCTTTATGAAGCT